GCTGAACTCAACCCAGTACGTCACTATTTTACATACTGAGGAGTCCACAACTGGACAAAGTACTCCAAATGCTTCCTTTTCCATTTATCTTGGACAGTTGAGCTACCACGGGGAAAAAAACTGACAATTTAGGTCCTATACCTGATAAGAAGCAAAAGAAAGTCCAATAGCAAACTTTCCACAGAAAAACAAAAAAGGCAGGATGACACAGAAACTAGATCCTAAACCACTGTGCCCTCAGTATTTTATGGAGACAAAAATCTCTAGAGTAGAGGTCCATCTTGTCTCATATTCTGCCACCAAAAATGGTTAGTTCTGCAAATTTCAGAGGAAGGGTATAGGACACCAAGCAACAGGTAATTTTGGAATAAGTTGTCCCAAGGAGAAGGGTTTTTCTGAGTTTCAGCAGCTGCCGATTTATGCCTTGCAGATGAAGGGCATTTTACCAGTTACAAGCTCTCTAAAAATTGCTAGAGAACTCCTTATTATTGGTATGTCTTTAATAGTTTTTCAAATTTTATAAAATTGGTTAATAATTGGTTTATAAATTTGGTTGATCTTCTGAGACAAGTAGTATAATACTGTATGAAGTAGTTCCTTGTACCTTCAAAGTTTTACTTTTCAATCCGTCCAAGAGGAATAGAGGAAAAGCGTAAGTTTCAGTTGAACTGAATCAGAGAACTTACTTGAAACAATTAAACAGCTAAAAATTAATGCAGGTTGTTGTGAATTATTAGTAACTGTAATTCATATTTTTAAAATAATTTCATTTACCAAAAATAAAAATCAACAAAATATTAGTACACCCTGTTCAAAAATAACATGGCTTGGTTAAGAAAACAAAATGCAACTGTTTTGCAATTCTAAACTGTTAGTTTGGAAGTAATATGAAATTAATCTTTTATCAGAAAGGTAATAATGTGTTAAAAGTGTAAGTAGCTTATTTTATTGTTTTTGATAGAAAAATACTTATGCATACCTGCATGAGCTGTCTACTAAATCGTAAAATCTTTTTCATGGCAAGTTATAAAATTAATATATTCAGTGTGTCAGATAAAAAGAAACTCACAATTTTCCTACTTAAGCAGCCACACAGTTGTTCAAATATGCATAATTTGATCTTTCATGCATTCCATAACAATCTAAAGTAACAGAGCATGAATTGGCTAAGGCATCCATGATAGTTCATACTTCACCAGTCTCACCATGGAGTGGCTTCTAATAACTACTGTAGTTAGTCAGTAATTCACATTCTAAATAAGTTTTACTATTTCTGAATTATTGTCAAAGAGTGTTATTTCTTAACAATTTTGATATATTGAAAAAATCTGAACAAACGTTCCTTCAATGTTTGGAATGTAAATATGTGAAAAATATTGTTTCTACAAAAGAACTAGAAAATTGTTTTTCGAACTGAAATAGAAGCACTTGAAAACTAAGTGGCAAATAGAAAACAAAATTTAAATTATGTAAACTTTCATTAGTAATATAAACTCTTTAGTGAAGACAAAAAAATACATCGAAATATTATAAGGTAGTTTAACAAAATATGGTCTGGTGTGTAAGCAACCAAAACTGCATTTAAAAAAAACAGGTTTTTTTCAAATAAAACTTGCCATTGTCATCTCCAACACTGTATTTATACACTATAAAATATTTAATGAATATTTCGCATTGATATATTACCACCAGTACAAAATGCATTATGTTCCCTTTTTATGTCAACTTGGCACTTACCGACTATCTCTGTCCCACAGGAGTATTCGTATGTGGTTGATTATTGATGGTTGGCCTAGTTTAATTTCAATTCCAGAACGGCAGTCATCATCGATCGGGTGTCGAGAGAAGCCATGATCCAAGTCATAGTTCTGAGTATCCCCATCTAATAAAGCAGACTTCAGCTCCCCTTTTACAACCTGCGCTCCATACTTCATTGTTGCAATATTTTCCCCTGGTACTAAGAAGAAAAAGAAATAATTGCTTATTTTTTACACTCTCATACTGCAAATTAGATGTTCTGAACATCAGCTGTATTAGGTCAGAACAAAGACTTATTGCCAGGATCCTTTCTTGGCCACAAACATATGTTCAAGGAAAAACAAAAGCACAGAAAGAGAGGCATTTTTGAAATTTTGTTTCTTCCGTTTCATTTGATGCCCCCTAGGTCTTTTATGGTAATAAGAAATAGTGATAATTTACTAGTATGTCGTATCTATATTCTCAGTCCCCTTCATGATTTTACAGAATTCTGTTGCTCCTTCCTCATTCAATCATCACTTTCCTCCTGGTTGTAAAGTTTTGGTCTCTTTAGTCTCTCCTTGTGATCAATGTCTCTACATACCTCTTAATTTTTTTGCCTTTTCTTTCCCTTTTTTTTTTTTTTGTTCTAATTTCAACTGTTTTGGGTTTTTTTTTGTTTGAAGTGGAAGGAAATTAAAAAGCACATAAAATGTTCAAGATGTGGATGCATCATGAATTTGCAGTGCTATATACAGCGTTATAGCTATACAAGCTATTTTGATAGCTACACAAGCTTCCAGTACTCTCCAAAGCTAAACGAACCTGAGTGAAATAGGAAACTTTTGGCTACTTGGTCTTTGAACTAACATGGTAAAGCAAGTTTTTTAAGCCATTTCACAGTAATAAACCTGTTACATCCTAGAAACAGATCTTCCATCAAGGTGACTGGGGATAATGATCCCTAACTCCAACTACAAAACAGTGCATTGATGAACCACCCTGTTAAAAAGACATTTTTAACAGTCTTGTTTGAGGAGATACCCTACAAAAAATTATCTGAAAGCCAAACGATGAAAAGCTGCCCCTGAACTCTTCAGGCAGGTTGGCAAGAGAAGTATGAATTTTAACAGGATGTTAGGTTTAACATTTAAAGAGCAGAATTTGAAGTGGTAAAATTTTAACCGTATTGTAGTACTACTACATAAAAACATCAAATGCACAACTCTGACACTGCAAGTGGTCATCAATGTTTCCACAAACAGAACAAATCCCAAAAGCCTGAACTAGTATTAAAATAACACAGAAATTGAATTCTCTAAAAAGCTGCGATTTTCACAAAGCTAGAAGTTTTGAGATTAGGAGCATATTATTGAGACATAAATATGCAGAAAAAGTAGTCAGAAAACACCATTTAACTTCAAATTTATCTACTGCACTGTCAACAATGTCTTACATGATAAAACTTTTACAATATCCTAATATTAAACTCATATGTTTAAATTTTAATAACTATAACTTCTAAGAGAGAACAAAGGGGAGATGCAGTTCTGAGAAAGCATTTATTTTCATGCATGACAGACTACAGTGCAGGCTCTCAAAGAACACAACTTTATTCTTTGCTGCAGGGCAAATACTCTCTACAAGTCACACATTAGATAGCAAACTATCTTTCTAAAGCTCAGTGTTAGATATTCTTGTTGAATTAACAAAGAGCACAGACAAAAGTCAAACAAAAGGCCTCTCATGCTTAGGCCTCCATTAATACAATTTTGGAAGACTTGTTTATACTATTTGGGCAAGCATGTAAAGAGTAAGAGAAAAATCAAAAGTAGCGGAGAAAAGACGAAAATCTTCACAAAGTAGAAAACAAGTCACCATCAACACAGAACCATTTAAATATCATATATCCCACAGCCAATGCATTTTTATTTTTAACATTTTTGCAAAAGTTTTTCTATTAAAATAGCACTCTAGGAAAATACACTCTTATTACAACATTCATGTTTGAGCAGTGTGTGAGATATATAGCAAACAAATGCGTTGACTAATCTTATTTGAGGAATAGCAATGGCAAGCACAGTACATAACAAGATATTTCATTATGTAAACCTTTTAATACAAATAATAATAGATAAAAACTCAAAGCACAAATTAACCATATCCTCCAGACAACTACAGTCACTAAATGAGAAAACAAACAAACAAACAGAAAACCTGATGCTTACTTAACATGCCCCTGTAGTTGAGGTCCATGTCCCTACTCTCGGAACGAATCTTGATGGCATCTAGGATGGCATCAGGTGACAACAATCCAGAAGGTCTTACAACATTTAGTAGTTCTGTTAGACTCATTAGTGGCAAACGTACTGCTTGCATGATTTCAGCATGGTTTTCTTTGGGGTTATGTTTACACCAATTCATCAAAGCTTGGAAAATGTCCTTCTCAGGAGCTGCAAATGAGTCCCTCAGTACAATACTTAAAAGAGCAGCCTGGAAAAGGAAAACAAAAAAAACAAAACCAAAAAAGAAGTAAGATTTTTTTCTTCAAAAAGGGGGAAAAAAAAAAGGAAATTAAATTCAGGCAAGAATTAATGGGTATTTTAACTTATTATTAAAAATAATTACAAGTTACTAAAAATAATCTCCAAAGGAGTGAATACCAGAAACTGTACCTTGTTTTAGTTACTCAATGTAATAATTATAGAATACACCAGGTAAATAATAGGTAGTATTACAAACCCACTAGGAGAAATATGTCAGAATTGAAATGTGGAGAACTATTCAAACCAATTTAATTCCAGTTACTACTTCAAATTTACTTTGGAATATAAAAAGCGATTTGGGGATTTGGTAGTATAGTTCAAAGCATTCCTTTAAACTTAGGCTGGTATAAGAACACTGATGCGAAGAATAAAGTGTGGCTTGGAATCATCTTGAAACATTTCTAACTATCTGGGTTGTTTTTTCCCGGCCTTTCTCTCTCTTTTTTGATGCCAGCTTAGAATCACCAGGTAAAAACTTCAGTGGCTCTTATTCACGTGGAAAACCCACTGACTCCAAAATGAGAACAAAAGAATTGAACAGCTTTTTGATTTTCATTAGCTAGCAGAATAATTAGGAGTTTGCGTAAGAAAAGGACAAATCTCTCATATATACCAGGACTAGCTATGCCAAAGTTGTCATAAAGTATGCACTTCCTCATGAATGACTGTCGTGGTTTAGCCCCAGCCAGCAACTCAGCACCACGCAGCCGCTCACTCACTCCCCCTACCCCGATGGGATTCGGGAGAGAATCAGAGGAGTGAGAGTGAGAAACACTCCTGGGTTGAGATAAGAACAGTTTAATAATTGAAATAAAGTAAAATAGTAATGATAATAGTAACAATATAATAATAATAATAAGATACAAAGCAAGTGATGCACAATGCAATTGCTCACCACCCACCGACCGATACCCAGACAGTTCCCGAGCAGCGATCGCTCCTCCCTGGCCAACCCCCCCCAGTTTATATACTGAGCATGACGTCATATGGTATGGAATACCCCTTTGGTCAGTTTGGATCAACCATTCTGGCTGTGCCCCCTCCCAGCTTCTTGTGCACCTGGCAGAGCATGGGAAGCTGAAAAGTCCTTGACTAGCATAAGCAGTACTTAGCAACAACTAAAACATCAGTGTGTTATCAACATTCTTCTCATCCTAAATCCAAAACACAGCACTATGCCTGCTACTAGGAAGAAAACTAACTCTATCCCAGCCGAAACCAGGACAATGATGCCTGCTAATTTCTTTATGGATAATATGCTCTCAGAGCTCAGATTTAACAAACTGTGCATGACAGAGTACAGTAGAGAAGGGGGAAAAAAAAAAAAAAAAAAACAAAACCCACAATGGTTTTTTTCCCCTATACAACTAGTAAGTTTGTGAGCGGAGCAGAGTGTTTTGTACTTCTTCAAGGAATAGACCTATCACAGCTTTTCCACTAAAAACACTCTAAAAAAATTAAACTGTCATTCATTCAAGATGCTCTGCTGCTTCACATGAACACCACTTGAAAACACTCTATCACTATTATGTCCAGCTCAAAGACCACTCCGGAGCAAGTGGAAAATTTCAATGGCATAGAACAGCCTGACTTGGGCACAAATATTCAGGCATCTAACAACAACAATAAAACCAACACACAAAAAACCCAAAGCACCCTACAACACCACCATATTATGCAATTTCAGAACATGATGACAAGCAGCAATATAAGTCACAGCAACCTCCAGAATGCTTTAGCTTACACAGCAGAAAATCACCAACCACTGAGAGAGCTTATATCAAGAAATTAATAGAATTAGTATCTTCTGCTATCTTCAGATCTTTACTTTATATCCCCTGGGCAGTGTTCAGAACCCAAATTATATTATTTCAAGAACAGATGAAAAAAGACAAATTAATATTAGATTGCCTGCTCCCACCTTTTAGAATACTCCATGAGACTTACTATGTTTAGCTATACTGACTAGTCAAAACTAAATACTTAAAAAATTCAGAACAGATGACCAGAATTTTCAGTTCACCTTGGCTTGAATGTTTCCAACTGTTACAGTTTCACTAGTATAAAATGATATCTGTTAGCTAACGTATGAAATTGTATTTTGTGCCCCCAACTTTATCATGAAGTTGTATACATATTAAAATTAACATTCCTGGAGAAAAAAGTGCAAACAAAAGATATACCTTAGAAAGCGATAGGAAGCCTTCGCTGGAGAGCACCTCTTGGGCATTTCTATCCATGAACATACAGCACATACAAGTTAATTTGGGAAGGGAATAAAGACTGGCAACATCAAATGTCATACAGACATTCTGAATATTAAGTATTGTGCAAAGATACTCAGACGTGGAATCCTCCAATTCAGGGAACCCGTATTTATGCGCTAGGCTTAGGAAGTCCAGGAGAACCTCCTCTTTCTCATCTCGTAGCGTAGCACGACCAGTGTAAATATATCTCAACAGCATGGTAAATGCTTCTGCAGTGGTGTCCTGAAGAGGAATTTCTGCTTCAGGCTGAGATTCTCTCATTCCACCATATAATAATGCTCTGTAAGGAAGATAAAATTTGAGAAATTTATATCCTGATAAAAATCAGGCAAAAAGTAGAAAGAGAAAGGAATAAATGACTATTTACAGCAAGGGGAAGACAAATGGGGTATGGTTTAAGAGTCTACAAAAGAAAAATCCTTGTACTTTGCATTTAAAGTACAGCTCTGCTCAGAAAGCAGCTGCACAAGAATAATATTCTAATGCATCATGTTTTTATCCTGCACAATTGTTCCATCTGTACTTTGAACAGTAGCTTGTGAAGCAGAAATTGAGATATGATTCTTGTACTTTTTTTTTTTTTTAATATAGTGCTGGTGAAGGGTCTGGAGCACAGGTCTTATGAGGAGCGGCTGAGGGAACTGGGGTTGTTTAGTCTGGAGAAAAGGAGGCTGAGGGGAGACCTTATCGCTCTCTACAACTACCTGAAAGGAGGTTGTAGTGAGGTGAGTGTTGGGTCTCTTCTCCCACGTAGCTAGCGATAGGATGAGATAGCGATAGGATGGGCTCAAGCTGCACCAGGGGAAGTTTAGATTGGATATTAGGAAAAAATTCTTCACGGAAAGGGTAGTCAAGCATTGGAACAGGCTGCCCAGAGAGGTGGTGGAGTCACCATCCCTGGAAGTGTTCAAAAAACGGGTAGACGTGGCACTTTGGGACATGGTTTAGTCTAGTCTACCCTTAATTGGTTTAGTGTGGACTTCGTAATGTTAGGTTAATGGTTGGACTGGATGATCTTAAAGGTCTTTTCCAACCTAAACGATTCTATGATTCTATCAGTGAGAAAGAAAAAACCTGAAAAATTTTCAGAAAGCAAGTGAAACACATAGTTGGCCACTATAATAGCAAGTAGCAGATTAGCAAACCGTGGGATTCTTGATCCTCCATTCCTTACTCTAAACCCAGCACATGGCAACTCCGATGAAATCCTGAATCTTGAGAAAAATCAAAGTACTCACAACTATTTTAAAATATGATAGACAGTTTGAATACAATTTGCATTCACGTTAGTTTAGTTATTAGCTTATCCCTCTGACAAAATTAACTGGAAGAAGATTATCAGGAAGTTCTATTAATTACATTTAGAGTGAAAAATGCCCAGCTCTTAAAAGAGCTGGATTAGTATTATTCCTAGTTCTAAAATATATATTCTGACCTCTATCAGTCAGACCTCTTTAAATACTCAATTCCAACGCATCAAAATTAAACTTCCTAATTAAGTATATCCCATAGAAGCACACCATCTATACTCTGAGAAATCAAAACAATTTTACAGCAGAACTTTCTGTTCTGAAGTTATCTTTCTCTTGAATTTGTGAAACTACCTTCAAAATCCAATTTAATGAAGGTCAAAAGAATAACATCATGACATGGTATTTATCTTTTTATATTTGGACACAATGATTTGATGTGCTGGGAAACATTCACACAGAAAAGGTCACACTCAACGGACAGATGATTACACCCTGAAAAGTTCATAGAGAAACAATGTTTATCTTATCTGCATGAAAATTTCCTGCAAGCCTGACAAAAAGCTATACTTCACCTGAAATAATGGCACCTAGCAGCCAGGATCACTCTGTGTGCTGGAAAACGTTTCTTTTCTACAATAAAGGTAACGTCACTATATTCTTCCCCATTCATTAGAGCACCGATATGCTCTGACAGAATGTGAACGTGGTCAATCTCACCCACAGCTGTGTAAGGACGAAGCGGATGGCTGTTACTCATCTTGGAGGGATGGTGATACTGGTAGCCTAAAGGGAAAAAGAAAACAACCAGTATTATAAAGGGCACAAATATTAGAAATGGCAAAGATCAAGCTGCAATTACAAAAAAAGTGACTAGTGCAAGTTATCATATATTAGAATATTCTATTAAAGTTCATTTACAACAGAACTCGATGCAGCTTGCATCAACATTCTAGCCTTACTGTTCTGTCAATCCATTTACTTAAAATAAAAATGCTTCCAAGAAAAGGAATTAAAAATTAAACAATTTTAAAGAAAATTACCACTAGAAAGCAATTTTATCTGCATTAAAATGCATATAAACTATAAAGAAATAAGTAATTTGACCAATTAAGCATAGTCTTAACTCCCAAGTCTCTACTAAAATCAGTGATGAGTAAAAACATCAGTGTTCTTGCACATTTCCAATCAACTCTCCAGAACTGGGAGAAAATAAACAGCTGGGATAACTTCTAACATATAACAGACAAAGTCTGTCAAAGACCAAAGCTTTACAATGTACAATTCAATTTTCTCACCCTTTCCACTCAGTTTTCTTGATGCCTTCTTGTTCCCTCACACATGTAAGAAAATAAACCCCCTAATACTGATACAGAATGTAAGATCTGTACTTTTGCATCAAAAGTTCGGCCTGTGACTTTAACTCTCAGCGGGGAGAAACTGTGGACTTGCTTAGAGATTCTTTGAAACGGTATCTTTGTACTTTAACATTAACAAACCTCGAACAAGCTCTTTAAATCACAGCCTCAAACCGGCAGACACCAAGGTCAGAACAACTAGGAGCATCATCACCCAAGGTAAGTGCAGAGAAACTAGTTAGGACTAGCACACACAGTAGCAAAGCTGTGATAAGCTGCTCAGTGAGCCAACTCATGACTATATATGGGAAAAGGATCCAGAGTTCATGGAAACGACACTGAAAGACCCCTCTACGAAGACCACTAGGGACCCCCAAATCACCAAGCACGCGCACCTAGGGAGAGAATACGTAAATAGGTTCCGGGGATTCATTATCCTAAGACCACCTTTTCCAAGAAATATGATAAATATATATATTTCTGTCCTACATAAATTGTATGGTTTTGGTTGTGCAGCATGCACGTTAGGTGGAAGTATCACCCCTGCATCCAGCGCCATAAATAAAGAATGCCTGCTTTCTAAAGCTCCAAAATGAGTCTTAGAGAGTTTTCGTAAGCTGTAATTTTCAGTATCAATACCTCTCAGTCATAAAAGTAGGAGACTGTCCACTAATGTACAGTACAGATTAATGCATTAGTCCTATCTTCTATGGAATTATTTTGTTACTTCTTAATTCACAGAGGTTTTAGTTTTGTTGGTTTTGGTTTATTTCAGCAACAGAGGCTTTCTGTAGCCTCAGTGGCAAGGGCACCCACAGGAGAATTAAGGTCTTAAATCAGCTTCTATTGTTACACTTCAGTTTACTTTTTACTTAAAAGAAGTTGGCTGTTTCAGATAATAACCATCCATATTTTCAGAGACACCTTCTGTGTGCCAATGACTAGCCACTTTGCAAAATGGGCACATACTTAGTGCTGAAGACGGATGGTATACCACAAGAAGCAGGAAAATGATGAAGCCATACCCTGCATGCAGCTAACACATTCATCTTTCAAGTGAAATATTCATTACATGAATGCATTTTTAAGCTGTATTTTAAAAGTACTATGAGAAAACACACATCCGTTTCCAGTCATTTCTACCCCAACAAAGAAAACACATGCACATGGGGTTAAGTATTATTTGCACCTCTGTAACACCTGGAAACGCTTAGCCCAAAAATCAAGATACTGTAGAAACACGGTCCCAAAGCACTTTAAAATAAACTAGTAAAAGTGACAGAAACAGAAAATAAGATTTGAGAAAAACACAGCATACTCAATTGATAATACAGGTTACAGCACAAATGGGAACAAAAACCCAGCTTTCCTCTGCTACTTGAGTTAGAAGGCTGTGTGCCCGTGTAGCCATTACAGCATGGAAACAAAAATACTGGCCGAGAAACTGCAGGCAGCCTAACCATGGGAACACAGAATAATGTACAGTCATTCTTCTATCCTGACACAAGAGTAAATTATTTTTTATGTTTTTTTCATAATAACAGACTGTTTCTTCCATTTGCACTGGTTAATTTACAATTAGTTAAGACAACTCTGCACTGAACAGATTCATGCAATATACACTTCCAGTAACATTTACTTTGTAACAAGCAAGATTAACTTAACTGACATCGCTTCAGTTGCATCTATTTATGCTAGCAATATTTATCACAACATAATTATTTGAGAGCTAAAGACAATAGTAAAATTGAAATGCACTCAAAATATAAAACCAAAAGGTTTTATTGCACCTAAGGAGCAAACAAAAGGATGTATTTGTTGCTCAGCTGCAACTCTCAAGCCTTGATACTCCTTCAAGACTTCTATATCTTACAAGTCTATAATTGCTGTTGTTGATGTTCCTTCACCATAAGTCAGGCAACCCAATTACATGAGAGTTACATGCACATTATCAAGCAACATTTCAGCTAGTTCTGATTTTGATTGATTAGGGAAGTTCATTTATGGTACTTCATACATGTATAAGTACACATTTTGGTTTTAATGTATAAGGCACATTTTGGTTTTAAAATCTATTTTTAATTCCATTTTTTCCTGCATTCTACTACTTTGTTTCCTTCGTCCACTTTTATCTCTAAAAAATAATAACAGGTCCTGTCTGAATAAAACTGAGAGACCACAAAAGTCATAAAGATAAGGGAATGCTTATCAGCTGCACACTAACTTTGCTTCCAGTAGCTGTGGATGTTGTCACATGCCAATACAGTGAAAAGTTCAAGGGAAAATTGTTTCCATTTCAGGTTAAATAAATAAATAAAATCAAAAGCACACTTCCCTCTCAAGGGTACATAAACCTCTCTCTAATCAAGAATCAGGGTATAGAATAGGGCAAAGTCTGAACTGGGGACGCTTGCTAATAAGCCAATGATGCCAGTCCTTATAAAAATCAAGACCCTGAACTACAGCAAGCAATGTAAGTAGAAATTTAGAAATCCCTGTGTAAGCTGCAAGACAGATTTGTTTGGGTGTTTAATGCTCTCCAAATTGCTGGTACAATGTACTATTCTAAATTGCCAGTTTCAGACAAGAACATGCTGATCACAGGGAACACAGGACTCAGCCGATGGCTACAAGCCTCTGGCTGAGGAGCCTTTCAAATGCTTGAATGATACAAACTGTTGAAAACTGGCAACTTTATGAAAATTATGTACATGCCTTTCATGTTTTCTGTGGGTAACACTAGTATATTGAAGCAGCACTCATTTGTTTACGACTATGCATTTCCAATGCAAGTTTCATCTGTATTGTGGATTTTCCATATAAAACAGCCCAGTGAGGGCAGTCCCGCCTTCAAAATATAGAATCAAATGACGCCTGACTTCAGATATTCCCAGACTGGATTAATTAATGGCACGAATTCAGTTAACCCTTGAGGTAATCTGCAGTTTTCTTGTTTGAGGAAGTAAAAAGTAGCATACTGCTTTAGTTGTGGCAAGCTGTTATGAGCTCACAACTTCCCTGTATAGCTAAACATGTATTTTTCTAGTTGCAACTCAAAGTATTATTTATGATAAAAAAAGATGGATGCTGCTGAGAGCTTAGCAAAACCCTTCCTGAAGATCCCTCTGGTATTTTCTGTCATCAAACAATGTCACACCTTTCAGACAATACAGGCATTCACTCTTCTTGGCGTTCAAAGAAGATTTAACAAACTTCAGAATAAAAGGCCAAGGCATTTACAAACCTCTTGCCAGCACCATAACATATTTTCAGGAGGTATTCAGAGCTAATTAACTGCTCCAGGAGTCAGCTGCTGCAGCTTTGTTCATGCCATAGAAACAAACAAAGAAAAACAGTCCTCTCAGTGAGTTTGAGGCGCCATTAAAATGGCAACAATCTCAAAAGGCATCTGTTAAGTCAGAAGGCCTACAAATCACTTCTGTCCAAGACCCCACCAGAAGACATGCTTCTTGGTGACATCTTCAACGGTGAGCACGTGAAAAACATGGCCTAGTATTTATCACATAAGGCAATATGCAGTATTACACACCATGTGTCACAGCTAGAAAAACAACAACAAAACGCCCACAGTTTTCAGCTTGCTATATTCCTTTTTAGTAAGTAATCTGTAACATGTTATGGCATACAAAAAAGCGATCTAGAAAATGGAGCAACAACAGCAAAACCCCAATGACATCTTTACTAAAAGACTCTCAAACCAGAGCTGCAATAAAGAGTGGTACTAAGTCACTTCCCCCCCCCTCATTTGGGCTATCACTACAGAGTCCTCTGAAAAGCAGTGCTGTTTCAATGAAACATGGAAGAGTTGTTTTTACACCACGCACAGAAAAAGGAATTTAAGAAATTGTTCATGAATAATTTGGATTTTTTTTTAATATAAAATAAGTGGAAAATGTTTACATAACTGATAACCCTACTGAAACAAATGCAAGTAAACAGACTACTGCTAGAATTAAAATTTTATTAAATAAGTCTAGATTATAAAGACTGAGCAAATAATTTCATACCCTTGAAACACTTAATTCCTTCATCATCTAGTTTGTACCTATGAAGATAATACAGATTTTGTCAGAAATACACAAAGGGAATTTTCTTAAATATAATTCTTTTACACCGCTATTTTCTCTAGAAATAGGAATTGGTTCTCATTTATTGGAAAGGATTTGAGTAGTATTTCAATTTTCTGTAATTCATTACTTCATAAAATATTTTGCTGTGCTTTAAATAAATTCCAGCAAAATATTATCTTAATTACAATTTCTATTACCATAGTCTCGCAGAACATGGTAGGTGTGACAGTAACACTACTGTACAAGCATACCATTGTTTCAAATCGTACGTTTGGTTTTTTAATGTTCATACACATCTTTTCTTTTTATACAAAAATATTTTGTTCTCTTAAGTCCTGGTACAATAAGCTAAAATCTCAGGAAATAGGAATTTTTAGTAAATATTTCAACATACACAGAGCATAACCCAAGTAAATACCTTGATTCTGTCAGAACCCTCACTACAGAAGCTCCTTTGTACTTCAAAATAACAATAACAAAGTTGACTGAGTGAAAAGTGTAACAGAAAGAGAAAAAATACATGTTCTAATAACACAACTGTTCAGACTGAAGTTAATTAAGTTTGTGAAGAATCACCTTTACTCACATAAAGCACTCACAAGCACTAACAGTAAAAGAAGCAGTTCTATGGTTCAACACAAATCCACAAAACTAGAGCTGTGTATAAACTCCTGGTCATGGTTTCTTTTAGTTTCACAACAGTCAAAAGGATTTACCCATGTAATAATGTTTAAATACAATTGTATGGGGGCTTTCTTATTGTTTTTAATTTTAATCAAGGCTTAACAAAAAAAAAAAAAAAAGCATTAATATTTAGTATTTAGTTACAAATATCATTAATTTACTCTGATCCAGCAGTACCAGAAAAAAACGCAATTCAGCACTGAAGCACAAGCCAAATAATACCCTGAAGAATAAAATACCTGTTTTCTAATGTTAATTTTCTATATTTTTCACCCTTTTACTCCCATGAAATATTTCTAATAATGTGAAAGTCTTTGTTCCATGCAGTCTTGAGGTTTTCCATAATCGCACCCAAAAGAGTGAAGCTACCATCTGCAATCTGAGGCACCAGAGAGAAAGTGTTGAAAGGGCCTTGAAATGCTTTAAGGGAAAAAGATAGTGCACTTATATGAATGCCTCTCTAGCTTAAGAAAAGCACTGGGAAAAAAACATTTTACTCAAGATAATCCTTAAGCAGAAGGTCATCCTATATTTTTTAATACCATCAATTCACTAATTCTCAAGTGTCCTTCACTTTCCTGATTAAGCATTTCATTAACATAGCTTCATGGTATTTCACAAAAATTCTCTCATATGTAAGTCACAATATTACAGAAAGAAAGAAAGAAAAAAGAATTATCCATGACACAACACAAACCCTACAAATCTCAAATACAGGAAAGCTTTAAATCACATTGAGTTACATATGAACAATCCCACTGATACATTCAGAAAAATAAAGAAGCCAAGTAAACCAAATTATACCAATGGTATTACTGGAGTTAAACAGTCTGTATGAGACCTCCATAATGAACATAGTAATTTAAAAATGTAAATTCTAATTTTAATCAAAAACAAACCACAAAACTTTATTGACACCATATTAATAACTATATCTGCATGCCTGAGGAACCGACTGGTCCTACTTAGTATCCAATAATAATAATGTAGTCAATGCAGTATGAATTTTTAGACATAGAATATGAAAGACAAGTAAATGGAATTCACAGAACTTCTAAGTCTCATCTCCAGCCCTGCTGTTGTGAAAGGATTAAAAGGAAAGCAGATGTTAACCCTAGTTAATGGCAAATAACCACACCATTCAATGACAGCATTCTAAACAATTTAGTACCAAAAATGTTTTGACTTAAAGCATATGGAAAGTTATGCACTGCTCATCTGCAAACACATTCCCATTACTTAAGTGCTTGTGCTGGTTTTGGCTGGGATAGAGTTAGATTTCTTCACAGTAGCTAGTATGGGGTCTATGGTTTGGATTTGTGCTGAAAACGGTGTCGATAATACAGGGATGTTTTCGTTACTGCTGAGCAGTGCTTACACAGAGTCAAGGCCTTTTCTGCTTCTCACCCCAGCCCACCAGCGAGTAGGCTGGGGGTGCACAAGAAGCTGGGAGGGGACACAGCTGGGACAGCTGACCCCGACTGACCAAAGGGATATTCCATACCATATGACATAATGTGCAGCAGATAAAGCTGGGGGAAGAAGGAAGGGGGGGATGTTCAGAGTGATGGTGTTTGTCTTCCCAAGTAACCGTTATGCATGATGGAGCCCTGCTTTCCTGGAGATGGTTGAACACCGATGCCGATGGGAAGTAGCGACCGAATTCCTTTTTTTGCTTTGCTTGCATACACAACTTTTGCTTTACTTATTAAACTGTCTTTATCTCAACCCACAAGCTTTCTCACTGTTACCCTTCCAATTCTCTCCTCCATCCCACCAGCGGGGAGTGAGCAAGCAGCTGTGTGGTGCTTAGTTGCTGGCCGGGGTTAAACCACAACAGTGCCGTAGTGCTAACGTTTTACATTCTGCTCAAAAACATATTCCTCTGATAGAAGAGCAGGAGTAAGTTTAGCTACGTACAAAGAAAAATATACTAAGTGCAGATTATTTATTAACACACATATAAACCAGTTATTAATGCACCCAATACAACCTAGTTAAAATGGCATACAACTAAACCCTTAAGTTAAAATCTCAAGAAAATACATTGGTCCACTCACCAGTAAAGCTGTCTGAAGATCTACAGTGGATGTAGCCCGTAGGCAGATGACCAACTTCCTGAAAATTAGGGTTCTTCGCCATTCTGAACAACAGACGGACTGAAGAACAAGCTCATAGAAACGCTATTCAGCAACATCCAGCTGGACAACAACTGTACCATTTCCTGAAACATGCATGAAATATATACCATCAGAAACTAGGGGCATGTAGCCTATGGCAAAAAGTGAGTGAGATGTGTATTTCTCAGTTTAAATTTTTGTGGAAAAGAATTTTTAAAAAATCCCTCCATTCTATGGGAAAACTTCGAATAACATTAGAATATAGCATTAGAATTTCTTTTTTTGAGTCATCATCATTTAATTTTGACCATTCATTTTTTTAACCATCAAAAAGATGGTAACATACTGCCATTCATTTGTTCATTATAAGCCACAAAAATTTCATCCTGGCATTCTTGCTATAGCATTAATGTCCCCAAGAACACCGTTTTCCCACATGGACGTCCTAATTAAACCAGGTCTATACAAACTGTATCGCACACATCCCCTACACATCCAAAGTTCTCCAACTGTTCTTGCCTAGCTAAAGCTTTTGGGGGTTTTGTTTGGGTTTTGGTGGTTTGGTTTGCTTTTTTTTTTTTTAACAATACTTCAGGCAGTTGCAGATCCTTCTCCTGTGCAAGCCTTTAATTTTACAAACAGGAAAACAAAACAAAACTGTAGGGTGAAGAAATACAGAAATATAGAGGCTTTATTTGTTTAAATACATAACCAACATAATGAGTCTCTCTCAACAAGTATAAATTATTGTTATTCTTCCCAACATACCTGCCAGCAGGAAAAATAAACTGTATTTAATTTGTTAAAGAGATGATACCTTGATCCATGTTCTCTTTCTCTCCAATTCTCTCTTACAAGAGACACTCTAATCTTCTTTAAAGTATATGTTTAAGGGAGCAAGGAAGGAGAACGAAGTATTTTAAGGTAGTCTCATGAACTGGAAAGTAACCAAACCTTAATCCAGCAAATTGAAAGCAAGTATTTGACAAAGATCTCCTGGTTTTGGAGAATAACATGTAATATGTAAATATTTTTTCCTGTAAGTAATGTACGTTATCAAATTGGCTTGTATTATCAAAATGTATTCCAAAGCCATTTATGAAAATTCTCGTGATTTTTCTTTTTTTTAAGATAAATATGAGTGAACAGACCCCAACAAAACAGTATACTTCAAGCACCTGATTTACAGATTTGTTACAGAAGACATGCCAAATACACCTGTACTGTGAGGAGGCTCCAATTAAATCTTAAAACAGAGAAAAAAAATTAAGCGGTGCCAGCACAGGGCTTTGGGAGGGGTCTGCGTGCTGTGCTTTAAAAATAACGCGAGCAAAGCGCATTGCTGGGCAAGCAAGATTACAGGTAGATTGCTAACAAGTTAACACGAAGCTGTGGTTTTCCTTTTCATTTGAAGTCTGATAATATGACAGCTTCTTCCAAGTCAAAAGCGTCTTCAATGAATCACAGTGGTGCATAACTTGCAAGAGTAGTTAAGTACTAAGACGCCAGAAGAAGCTGCGAAAATACTGTGCGGACTATCTAAGCGTCAAAATATTGAACTAAGATTAAAAAACAAACAAACAAAAACCAACACACCAACCAAGGCCACAAGCGGGTCCTGCAAAGCGCGGGGGCCGGCACAGAAGGCAGGTGAAGCAGGCGCCTCACGCCCACGACAGAGAGGGCGGCCGAGGGCCCGCGATCCGCCCAAGGTCGCGC